CCCAACTAACAATGGCAACAAGTGATTATGATATTTTATATTGTATTTTTTCTGTCACTGAATTTCAAACAAAGAGAGTAAATCTGAATTTGGACATCAACGTATGAATATTAGTACTAATACAAAACAATAAATTACTAATATATTGACTAAACAATTTACATTTTTTTCACCAAGTAATCCCAAGTTATTACATAATTCACCTTGTTGTTTTCAAAATTCACCAAATACTCAGCTCCCAAGTTTTAATGAAATTCATTATGTACCCTTAATGACTAACAAAGAAAATGTTTTGAGGAAGCTCCCAAGTAAGATTCTTAGTTTGTCTTTATGGTCAAATAGTTAATTTACTTTATTATATATACAACATGAGCATGACCCAGCTATTGCTGGATGACTAGATGCAGTGTAATAAGAACTCAAAGTCAAGTCTCAAAGTATATAGTAGAACTAGAAAATTAGCATATATTATGAAAATAATTTTAAAAAATATGTAACCCTAGCCACCATACTTAATTACTTACTAATATGTACTTGTAATATGTAAGCCTGTTTTGTCGACGTAATGCATCAAATACGTTTCCGCAATTTGTACATGCTTTGGCTAATGGAGACATTAAGGGCCAGAAATAACTAAAGAGAATATTGTAGTACAAAACTACAAATTGTACAGTAGTAGACATACTACATAATCCTATATACTCCGTAATATTAGAGTCTAACCACTACAACTTTCATCAATATATGAAATATATAATTAGAAAACTTAATGTTGGAGTTCAGATTATTAATCTTACTTTATGGGGGCAAAATTAACTATTGACCAATTTGAATTAGTTGATTGACAATACAATAAGCTTATTGGGGTGTTTGGCGGCTAATTAATTTGAAAAGCTAATTTCACCCAATAAGTAAGTTTATTTCGTTCCGATAAACTGCTTGGAGGAGCTTTTTAATCGTTCCTATTCGAATAGCTTATGGTGAAATGATTTCACTGAATAAGCTTATACCTAATACCCCCTTAACAATATACCCATAGTTTTGCACGCAATAACTAACCCATCACAACAGGATATGTCGATGTCTGTTGAAGCTTAAGAGTTTTGATGATGATGAATAAAAGCAAACTTCAACTAATGCGATTTCTCTAAGTGTTGTAACTAGAACAGGTGAAGTTGACTTTGGAAGCGGAAGAGTAATCTGACTATGAAGACACAAGGAGACTCCAAGGAAAGTTAAAGAAAGTAGAAGAAGAGTTCCTCAGTGGAATTAACTGAACAGGAACACCAAGGGAAGTTCCCTAACAGGAGCTTGACAGCAAGTTGAGAAGATTGACTTGGTCTGCGTTGAAGACAGCAAGTTCCATAAGAACTTGGCCTACGAAGTTCCAGCAAGGAGCTGGAGAGTGAAGGACAGCAGGAACGCAATCCTGATCTGCGTAAAGCCCAAGTATCCTTAACATACAACGATTGATGAGATAATCCGGCTAAAGTATTTCAGTCTTTTTGTTAAGTTTATTTATTTAAGGATTATTGTAAATATGTTAGGTTAGTTTATGCATGGAATTTATTAGAAGTGTGACAAAGCTTGGCAAGCTTAATAATGGAAAGTTTATAAAAGATAAGTTTTCAATTTATGAAAACGATTTTCTAAAAGATTTTATAGCATCCAGTTTTATATGATATTATTCTTCTCATAAATTATATCTTTGATAAGTTTTCTAAAAAGATTTTCTTTACAAAAGATTTACATAAAAACGTGTCTTATGATTATGGTAGTTTTATAATTTCTATCTTTTTGAAAACCCTACATTACATATGAGTATCTCTTGTATATAAAGTAGAATTCATAATTTACACAACTTGTGAGTTTATGCGTGAAGAATCTGAAGAGAGCTTTGAAGCGTAAGTTTGTTAAGTCTAAACTTTGTCATATTAGTTTCGGATTTCATGTGTAGCTTTCCTATCACATATTAGATTCAAGAGTTTGTATTATTTTGGTTTGGGTGAGTGTTTAGCTTAGTGCATACAGATTGTAGGCTTCAAGGGTGAAGCTGAGTGTGAGCATTCCGAGAGTACTGAGTGAATCTAAGTCAGGGACTTAGGTTGGGTAGGATAGGGTCCTATCGTGTAGCAAGTTCAGTCAGGAACTTGTGAGTAAAGGTCTGATTATAATAGGTTGTAACTAGGTGAGTTTGCCCTATTATAGTGAATTGTTTTGGTGTTTGAAATCCCTGGAGGGTCGAGGTTTTAATTCCAGTTGGTCCCTGGAAGGTTTCCTCGTAAAATCTTGTGTGCTTTGCTAAGTTCCTTTATATTCTGTTTAAATTCCGCAAAAGTAGTCAATAAGAACTCACATACAATTAACCCCCCCTCTTGTAGTGCTCGTCTCAACTAACAATGTCCTTTTTAATCAATTTGCATACTCAAACAACTTTAATTTAAACAATCAATTATTTACATACTAAACACTTTTATACACATCTAATGAAAACAATTAGTCAAATCAGTCAATATAATCAGCTAGTTAAAGTCAACTAACATGATCAGTTCGGCTTTCAGCTATCATCTATTCACCAAAACGGTCTTTTAGTTATTTCTTGGCATTACATTAAGGCATTAATTATAAGCTTTGATACGTCCATTTTTTATTGATCATCTAGTGTATATATACATTAAAATCACCCCCTCTATTTATTGGTTGTGTACATTTTTAGCTTGTGGAAAACATAAAAAATAACTCTGATAGTTTATAATACACAAACAAGTATTTTAATTTTTCCCCCCTCAATTAGGCATATATAGCACATTTAATTTTTTGATACTCCGTATGTTGTTTTAAACTTTCACCAATTGTGTCTAAAGTGTTGTGTCAATTTTAGGAAACAAATTTAATATTTTAATTGAGTATTATTTGTTTCAAGTCATCATTGTCTTTCCTCCTTCAAAAGAAAAAAAAAAGTCATCATCTTTTATAACTGCCAAGTATTTTTTTGGGACAATTTCCTAGGCATGTTTTTATAACTCTTACATGCAAAAAATAGTGATGTAAATAACTAAAATAGGTTACTTGGACTAAGTCATGATCACTTTAACAGCTACATGCGATGGCCAATATATTACCTTTACGTTGTTGTCATTGGCTTATAATCGTCATGATTATTGCTAAACTGAACACCCTTGATCAAATGCATGATATAGCAAGTTGCCAACAACCCCCTTTACAAAACTAAAAAAAAAAAAAAAAAAAAAAACCTATTCTCTATTCCTTCACCTTTTAAAATGCAAGAAAAGGTCTTCAATGACATAAGATAAGTGATATATATCTAAAATAATACTAGTAACTTGTAATTCTATAGCATTTCCTCAAACTACTCAAGGATTCATGACAACCCATTAAACATTTGTGTTAATAATCTTGACCCTTTCTAACATATTTCTGACATTTTGTATGGCTGAAAAAATAGTTAGACATCCAAATGTATAACAAGAAATTAATCTAATTCTTATCATCATGTTGCGCATTTGATTACTAAAACTTAATGCATAACCCCCTCGCCTTAGAACAATGAACCTTTCCTTCTTAAAAAAATAAAAATTGCATCACATCATCACTATTAAAATTCAAAAATATAAGGACCAACCTAAAGAGGCAGTCAATAGTCAAGAAATGTGGAAGAATTGATGAACCCGTTACGTAGTTACGTAGGGACGACAATATTATACGGGAACAAAATAACTCATACCTCTTAAATTGCCACGGTATTTCCACTAAAATGTTCATGATCCATGACAAATTGATTTGTCCGTTTGTTGATACAATTTGACCCATTGGCCATTAGGCTACTCAATCCTAATTGTTCAAATTAAAAGAACAATTATATAATAACTCCCTCCTTTTATAATTGTCCCTATTGCAAATATTTATCATTATTAAAAGTTGGCTACGGTTGTGTAAGTAGAGGTGCTAATCATGTTTTTTTTGGTGGGGTTAGAGAGCCATAGGATGGGTGATGAGAATCGATCCCAAGATCTCGTAGAATCGGGAGGGGAGCTCTAACCACTTGAGCTATACCTCACTCTCAGAGATGCTAATCATGTAGTTTGGTTGGAAAAACGGAAAAAAGTTTATTTGAGTCAGATTTTATTTGGTTAAGAAAACTTTTTGGTCTTAGAGTCTTATTCTAATGATGAGATTGCATTAGCTATGTTTAATGTTTGAAACAACTCTTTCGAATCTATTGAAAGTAACTTATTGTGAGAAACAAATTAATTTCAACTATAAATGATTATGGATGAGTGTGTTTGGAATTGAGTCAATTTTGAGTCGAGTTAGATTATTCTGGTGATCAAGGGAATGTTGGGTCTGTTAGAGATAATTATTCCTTAACAGGGTCATCTAATTGGATCACCTTTGCCAAGTTAATATTTATTACCTTCCTAAATTAAGTTACTTTTAAGAATTTGTGATAATTTAGTGGAGAAATATGTGAACATAACATACCAAAAACAATGCGGTGCATATAAATAAGACAACAAGCTTAAAATGAAGAAATTAATATATTTTTTTAACACAAAAACGACGAAGTTATGGCATACTTGGCCGAAATGAGTGATTGAATGTAAAATATTTGTGAGATAAATGCTTAGCTTGCTTTGATGTTCTTGGCCAAAATATATAGCCTACAAAAGATTATCTGAACAAAATAAAACTCTATCATAAGTAAACTTTCCTAATCCTAGACAATATCAAATTGGTGATTTTTCTGTGTGGCTAGTCACACTGCATGACCGGGGTTACTTATAGGGGTTATTTATTCTGGAGTTATTTATTTAGTAGTTATTGAATCTGTCAAGGGTTACTTATTCTGGGGTTACTTGATCAATTAGGGGTTACTCTCACACAAAAAACACGTTAATCGACTAAGTAAATCCAAAATAAGTAACCCTTGACCGACTGAGTAACCCTCTAAATAAGTAACCCCAAAATAAGTAAGCCCGAGATAAGTAACCCCGATCACACGATATAGCAAGCCACATAAAAATTTGTGATATCAAATTACCATAACTCTGTCTTATACCAATAATCAAATCTTTCCAAAAACGATTGAAAGTTCAACATACAAGACAAAACATAGAAAAAGGAAGAAAACTTACAATATTATAACCACAAGACTACGCTTTTAAAGTCGTCGTACAATATAAATAGCCATGATGAGCATGAAGCATACTTAATAAAAAAAAGTTGAGTAGTAAGCAAAGGAAAAAAAATAAAAACCTCCATAAACAAAAAAAAATTTATATAAAAAAAAAAAAAAAAAAAAATCACTTTAGAATATCCTACAGAAAAATAAAGATGATGATGAACACAAACGATATGTTCATGCAATTTGGGTCGTTTTTAGCAACCATTATGTTCGTCAAGGCCATGTATGAGCAATATCTCCCTCATCAATGGCGTGATTCGATCCGTTCATTCATGTACCGATACACGGAGAGAATAGTAAGGTTTTTCTCTCCGTATCTTCATATAACCTTTGAAGAATATACCGGGGAACGATTTAGTCGGAGTGAGGCTTACATAACCATTCAAACTTACCTTAGTGAAAAGACTTCGGATAAAGCGAGGGGATTAAAGGGTAATTTTGTTAAGGATGGTAAGGCGTTAGTGCTTGGATTAGCTGATAACGAGGAGGTGACCGATGTTTATCAAGGTGTTAAGGTGTGGTGGACTAGCCATAAGAGTTTTGCTAAATCTCAAACCATCAGTTTCTACCCTGGAATGGATGAAAAAAGGTACATTATTAATACTTCAATTTTTTTTTCTTTAAAAATAAATTCTTAATAATTTTTAGTTAATTGTAATTTAATTATTTGATTTTTAACTTTTTCTAAGTTGTATATGTCTCTATTAGAGAATGAAAGAAAAATAATAATAATAAATCCCAAGGGTTTATGATCAAAGGCACCTAGGATTAGAATTAAGCTTATATTCTTCTCAAAAAAAAGAAAAAAAAAAAAGAGTTAAGCTTATATTAGGTTTTGGTATCATAGCCTATCTTGCATAGTTTCAATTTTGAGAAGCTTAGCTTCCTTTTATATAGCTTGATCAATTATTATTGCTAATATGGAGTATGTAGGTAGGAGGATTTCTTTTTTAATTTTCTGAATAAATTGTTGTTACATATCACTCCTAGTATCCACTTTAGTAGTAATATTTTGAGTTTATGGAGAAGTTAAACTACTAAAGAATCATAAATATTAGAGGTGATTGGTAGATAGATAGAACAAACCAATTATAAGTTGAATTAAACGCTAAAAATATTACATATTAATTTTTCTGAGCTTATCATTTCCCTTGATTTTTAATGTGGTAAACAAGTTGTTTTCTTACATACCTGGAAAAATAATAGTATTAAAATTAATTAGATTTATTTAATAATTTTTCGCTTGACCTTATGCATAAAGAACAATGAAATTCTCCATGATAATGAAAGAAAAAACAAAAAAATGATGTCATTGGTGTGCATTTGAGCATTATATTACTCTATTAAATGGCACAAATATAACTCAATTACCAATTTTTTTCCTATGCTCATCACACACCATATTGACATATACAACTATATTAGTCATAGTCTCATAGAAGGTCATAGTCTCCAATGCCCACATGCACCGGCCATCTCTATATTGATTCAGCATCGGTACACTCGAGTTTATTACTAGTGAAGGAATTTTAAAGAGAATTAAAAAAATGTCAACTACAATCTATCTGAAAATAATAGTCACATCCATTTAATTATACTCATATCACTACATTTCTTGGTCTCCATATGAGCATCTCTTATGGTAAGGACCTTGTAGTTTGTTTTGCCACATCAATTTTTAAGCTACAACAATTTTTTTTGCTACGAAGTGTTTTAATGGTAAGTTACAATATTTTGTACAGTAATTTGTTAAAAATAAAATATTTATAGTTGTACACATGTCACAATATGAGTGAAATTTACTTGTCTATTTTCTAATCAAGCATGTAGCTTGTTTGGACTATAGTAGCTTGTAAGATCATTTTTTTGTTCTCCAATGGTATGTAGCTAGACATTTTATTTATACTGCAAGCAAGTCCTTACAATATAACCTAAGCATAGAATAATAATAAATAAAACCAAAAAACTTTCAACTAGAAATCAATATTGTATAATTATTAAATTAGGAAATTTTGCAAAATAACACCACAAAAAAGATGAAAAATGAATTATAATACCACAAAAACAAAATTTTATTATAACACCACATAAAAAACCAAAAAATGGATTTTACCACTACCTAACGAATTCTTGGATGCAATCCGTTAGTGGGGCCCATCACGTACACGTGTCGCTGATATATTAATTTTTTAAAAAAAGGAAAATAAAAATTTAAAAAAAAAAATTAAAAAAAAAAAAAGAAAAAAACCCTAAAACCTTACCCAGCCACCACTGCCGGCAGGCCAACCGCCGACACCACTTGCTCCATCCCACCCCATCCCAGGAATCCCTCTTAGCCGACAACCAATCCTTTTCCCCACACCCCTTCCCCTTTTCTCCCTCCCCGAAAACCACCACAACCACCATCCCATCCCCACCCACAAAAGTAACGTTCTTGGGCTGCCATGGTTGATTTCGGCTGTTTTGGATCGAATGGGATAGGCCGAAATCGAATGGGTTAGGCTTCCATGGTTCGACAGAGATCGGGAAAAGGAGGTGGTGCCTCTCCTTTTCGCTGATTTAGAGTTCATGGTGGGGGTTTCCACCGATTAGTGGGATTTGCAGGGGGGATGTGGTGAGTGGGAGTGACGGCCGGTGATTTCGACGGTGAAGGAGGGTATTCCGGCTGCAGTGGTGATGTCAGCGGTGGGGTGTACGGCTTCTAGAGGTAGTTGTGGGGCTGAGTTAGGGTATTGGTTTTCTTTTTCTTTTTTAAAAAATTTTTCTTTTTATTTTGAACCAATGTCTTATTGACACGTGTTTAATTTATAGTGGGTTCCACAAATGGATTATATTAGAAATTCCTTTAAGTGGTGGTGAAATCCGATTTTTGGATTTTTTATTTTTTATTTTTTATTTTTTGTGGTGTTATAATAAAAGTTTAAGATTTTGTGGTATGATAATCCATTTTTTTACTATTTTGTGGTGTTATAAGTCAAAAAATCCTAAAAATTAGGCAAATAGAAATTTCATTTCGGAAACTAGAATAATAAACCTAACTAATGTCAATATTTTGGTTTATTATCCTTGTAACAGGCATTATAACCTCACTTTTCATGGAAGTAACAGAAAGTTTGTCACTGAAACATACTTGAGTTACGTTTTAAATGAAGGCAAAGCAATTAAAATCAAGAACAGGCAAAGAAAGTTGTTCACCAACGTAAAAGAAAAAAGTGGATCATACTTTAGTAGAGGAAGCTTATGGAGCCATGTTGAGTTCAAGCATCCGGCTTCTTTCGAAACCCTAGGTATGGAAGCGACCAAGAAAAATGCTATAAAAAATGACCTTCTTCGCTTTAGAAGTGCTAAGGATTACTATAATAAGATTGGAAAGCCATGGAAGCGCGGTTATCTCTTGTATGGACCTCCTGGCACTGGTAAATCAACCATGATTGTAGCCATTGCTAACTTATTGGAGTATGACATTTATGATCTTGAGCTAACCGCGGTTAAAGATAATACTACATTAAGGCAGCTACTCATTGAGACTTCAGGGAAGTCGATAATTGTGATTGAAGATATTGATTGTTCACTTGATCTTACTGGAGAAAGATCGACAACAAAGAATGAGAAGGAGAAGGATAATGAAGGAGAAGATGATAAGGAGAAGGTTAAAAAGAAGATGAAAGATGAAGGAGAAAGCAAAAAAAGTGAGGTAACTCTTTCAGGGTTGTTGAATTTTATTGATGGAATATGGTCTGCTATTGGAGAAGAGAGGTTAATTATTTTTACTACTAATCATATTGAGAAGCTTGATCAAGCACTAATTCGAAGAGGGCGAATGGATGTGCATATTGAGCTTTCGTATTGTTGTTTTGAGTCGTTTAAGGTGCTTGCGGATAATTATCTAGATGTTAAATCGCATCGTTTGTTTGAGACTATAAAGGGCTTGTTAGAGGAGACTAAGATGAACCCTGCTGATGTAGCTGAGAGCTTGATGCCAAAGTCTCTTGAGTTAGATGTTGATGCTTGTTTAGAAAATTTGGTTAAAGCTTTGGAGAAGGCGAAATTGGATGATCAATTGAAGAAGGAAAAGGAAGAAGAAGAAAAGGAGAAGGAGAGGAAAGCAAAAATAGAGGCTAAGGAAGAAGGGAAGGAGGAACAAGAAGAAAATGCTAATGAGAATAAGACTAAGAGTGACGAATGAAATATGAACAAACAATGATGTTAAGCAGATCGAAGGGGTTAAAAATATGTACTAATTATTGTTTAAGTGATATCTTGTGTTGTCATATACGAAGTATGTATTTTAAAATTAAAACTTTTGTAATAATTGATTGAAATTAATTTGGAGTCAAAGTTTTATTTTATGTTATTGAGGGAACTACAATAACTACAATAATTAGACATAGTTTGACGTAAATATTTTATTTGCAGTATCATTTTAAATTTATTCATCTTTAAAGCATCACTAATTAAACTTAATTCTAGCAAAACTAGTACCACATGTCCACAGTATGTTCTTTGTCAAATACATGTATGTTCTTTGTCAAATACATGATGTTCTTTCAGCCTTTTTTTTGTTTAATCGGGTGCACCATGCGCATGGTGCACCCGGGTGCATAGATCAGACATTACAATGTATAGTGTTGAGCTAGATGAGCAAGTTTTGAAAAAAATAATAAAAATTTATCTTGACTTATTTAATTATGTGTATCTTTTTGAGAAATTTTATTAAATATGGTTTTAAATTTGATGTTTTTGCCGTTATGACTAAATATGTTAAGTCATTATAAACTACAAAATATTTAACATAAAAAAAATTTATGTCATCATAATATCATACTTCCTCCATTTTTTTTTTATCGCATCACTTTGACTTTTACACTATTAATATAATCTTCTTTGACCATCTTTTGTGATTTATTCGTAAAAAAAAATATAGTCATGTGGGATCTAATTAGATTCATCTCGAAATCTACTTTTCATATATCAATTTTTTTATAATTTTTACAACGGTATAATTAAATATATTAATAGCTAAAGTAATGCATTGACAAACGTGAAATCTCCTATGATGCAATAAAAAAAGAACGGAGGAAGTATATAAGATACAATAATTTTTTTTTTTTTTTTTTTTTAAGTAAATTAGTACTTGTATTGTTGTATTAGAAAACAGCCCAAAAACTTTGAGTCTCCTTATCATAAAAGAACAAAAAAGACCAAGTAATGTCGATCATTGACGCCTCTTTCGAGTCTCCTTCACTCTCTGTCAGAATGTGTCATCGCAAAATTATTTCTTAATTACGAAGGGACGCCTTAATCTTATATTTGTACACTTAATTAGTTCATTGCATTCACATGTATGAGTCAATAGCTAAGGCAGCGGTCTTTATTAAAAAAAACAAAAAAAAAGTTATTGACAAAAATGGTGATGATGATGTACACCTGAATACGACATGTTTATGCAATTTTGTCTTAGGATAGTAATTGTAGCTATTACTTCTCATACTTCTTACGAGTAGAGTTCCTAATATTTTATATTGACCTTATAAATAAGGCGATTTGATCAATGTAATTTTTATACGTGTTGTTATACGAAGAGAGTTGTCAATTAAGAGTTTTTCCTTCCTCAGCTCTTAAAGCCTCTTAACATTTATATTATCCTTTGTTAAGGGTTTAATAATGAACTATATAGCTTATGGTTAAGGGGATTTCAATCAATATTAATATGATGATTAGATCGACTAAAAAAACCTTAATAGTACTTCATTTCTCTTTGTGACGTTTGTGTAACGGATTATTGAAATAATACAATAAACATTGTAGACATAAAATAGAAAGAACGAAGAAAAATACTTCGAATCTTGTTGACCATTGACCCTCTATCCATTGTATTTATACACATTTATAAATCACAATTCACATGGGTAGCCATCTTATAACACACGACAAAGAAAAATAAGAGTAAAAAAAAACGACAATGATGATGATGATGAATCCGAGTGATACATTTTATGCAATTTGGTTCAATTTTAGCAACCATAGTATTTCTCAAAGCATTGTACGAGCAATACTTGCCATACAAATGGCGCAATTCGATCAACTCGTTTCTGTATCGTTACACGGAGAGATTTGTTAAGGTATTGACCCCTTACAACGGGTTTGAAGGGTAATTTTGTTAAAGATAAAATTAAAATTTGAACCTACCATTATTCTCTTTTACTCCGTACCAAATTTATAGAACGGAAAATTAATAAACTGATCATAAAATTATAGGGTAAAAATAACAACGGCGGGATGAGTATGTATATAGTAGATTCAATTTGTTTGAGTTGCAAATGGCGTGGAATCCATCGTCATTACTCATGAGTATGAAGTGCCCAATAGTCCAAAAAAAAAAAATACAGAGAATATTCCAATTATTTAATCAATGTTGATTTGGGATTCTTTTTATCATTTTTCGTTGACCAATACGTGGTAGGGTTGGTAGTCATTGACTTCAAATGAGTATTATTAAAAGCCCATAGCTGTTGAGTTTGCTATTTTTGGACTTCAGAAAATAAAAAAATTTAAAAGCCCATGGGTGGTGAGGTTGCTATTTTTGAGTTTGAAAAAAGAAAAAAAATTAAATAGAAAATTGATTATTCAATTAACTGAAGGAGAAAAAAGAGTCTGATCCCTTTTAAAATAAATTTATTCCCTTAATTTCCAATTTTTTGTGCTCGAGTTTATTTTTGAGAAATACAAATTTATCACTGTTATAAACAAAAAGTGTTTATTAAATGGCAAAAGTATTAATTAATTAACAATTTTTATTAAAATAAAATAGATCCCATAATTGTTGATACTATTACAAATATACCATGGTGACTAAAATTTTTTGTTCATTAATTTACAATTTTGTCTCTTGACAAACAAATTTTGTTTATCTCAAGGTGATAAATGGGGTCTTCCTCTTTATTTTATTATGTTAAATTTAGTTAAGAGTACGTTTTATTTAGTTGATTTTTACTTTTATCTAATCTTTATCAAACTTACATGAACTTAATTATATTGAAAACTACTTTAGTTTTGATTTAATTTGAAGTTTAAAAACCTTTGTTAACCGTTACCAGAACTTATATTTCATAAAGCTATCATATCAATTAAAATTTACTATAAGTTTTTTTTTCTTTCTAATATAAGTAAAATTAAGATAAACAAAACAAGTTCTAATTAAACTTATTAAGAGAAAAAAGTAACAAGGCTAAATGAAATTTATGCAAGAATACAAGAGTATTCTTCATGATCATAATGAAAATAGAACAATTTGTTAAAACTTAAAAGCAACCTCAAATGAAAAATAGGGTTAAGTATTGGCGCATAGCTGCTATTTACATGGCAAGTAAATAGCAGGTATAAGACAAAAGAGTGGTGAATTCTTTTTTTCTAGTGGTACAAATAAGTATATAAATTGTCATAAAAAATTGTACCACTGTTACCTATAATGGCTATAAATAGTACTACTAAAACAACCTATGCTCTAGTAGTATAAAATACATGTATAATAGTACATTAAAAATACCACTATAAGTATAGTAGTACATTAAAAATACCATTGTAACTAGGGGTGAGCACTGACCACTTTCGGATCAGATATCCGTATCCGAAAATTAGGATATCTGATATCCGATATCCGTTCCGAAAGCTTCGGATATCCGATATCAGAATATCCGAAATTTTCGAATTGGATATTTCAGATATCCAGTATCCGATTCTTTTTATTAATAATTTAATATTAATAATTTAATTCTAAATTAAGCTCTTAAAGGCAAAATTATTTTTTTAAAAGGCAAATTCATATGTATATTTTAGTTATTTTGTTGTTTTAGTCTTTAGAGGAAAATTACAACCTGAACAAATTGAATAATTAAATAACCTGAATAATTTAAGTAATCAAATAACCTGAACAAACCAAAGTGACTGATTGAATAACCTGTGAACAAACTCACAAAGTGACTAAAAAAAACCTGCAGTCCAACTAATTATAACATATTACAATATAAAGAAATTTTAGAGAACTTGCATACTAATTGTCACATTACAAAACAAAGAAATGTTCAAAGTCCAAATAAACAAACCAATGTCCAAATATTAAAAATACATAAACATTCAATCTAATACTAAGAATTATCATCAACGAGGAAACCGCGTATCAAGAAGAGACGATAAGTCGACAAATCTACAAAAAAAAATAGTAAATTATACAATTAATATAACCAATAAAATGCAGAAAATATAACACAATAAAAGTATTAAAAAAAGAAAAAAAAAAACCAAAAAAATGCAGAAACTATAACATTCAAAAAAAAAAAAATACAAACCAATAAAACAGTATTACCTCTAATTCTAAAAATAATCATCGACGACAGAGACTGAGGGAGGACCAACAAGAGAAGACAACTCTACATTTAAAAAAAAAATAGTAAGTTATACAATAAATACATACAAATAATTGCAGAAAATAAAATAGAAAAAAAACAGAAACATTTTGTAAATTCCAGCTTGAATAAATAATAATAGATATTAAAAAAAGTATTACCCTCTTCAATTTGTTGAATATCATCAATACTTTCTTCAATCATAAGTGGACCACATGTACTACGCATCCGATCTTGTGCACATATCGAAGCTTCAATCATATATGAAGAAAGAGAACTATGAAACACATCAAGTACGTACTCTTCCACCGGTGCTAAACGCAAATTCGGATGCAACCGTAGAAACCGGAATGGCTAATACATCCCTAACCATAAGACCAACAATAGGATATCTCACAGCTCCACCCCTTTTTCCACCATCCCAATGCATCAAAATTCTTACCCATGATAGGCTCTTTATCATCCATTAAGTACTTGTCCAAATCACTTTTTTTAATCAAAAATCGTTTGTCCACCAATATCCCTTTCAAACTCATAATCAACCACATCATGCCAATCATTACAAGTTTCCAAGTCTCTTGAACTCAAATCAATATTTTCAGAAACATTTGGCACACTTTGACTTTGTAAAGAAGCATAATATTCATAGAACGAAGTCAAAGTATTCATGACCATATCATGCAATTTTGCAGCCTTCACAGAGTCATATTGATCATTAATAGCCTACTTCACATAATGCATTTTGCGTCTAGGATCAAGCACAACAGCAACATACAACATCAAGCTAATGTTATCCACATTTTCCCAATATTTTTCATGCTTTTTCTTCATCCCATAGGCCATTAACATCTCACCACTATCAACACTTTCACACTTTTTTTTAATCATCTTCCAAATTGTCACAAGTTCAAGCAAATACACATTAATAGTAGCATACAAAGATCCAGAAAGTCTCAAAGTGGCATCATAAAATATCTTAAGAAAGGGAAGCAAAGAAGCAACACGATCCCAATCGTTATCGGTAGGAACACCAGATAGTTTGTTAGTTCAGCAAGAAATTTACCACCATCAAAATTTTCCAACAAATCAATAGCTTTTCGATAAACCATAGCATATTCTAACATCAAATAAGTGGAGTTCCACCTAGTTTCAACATCCCAACAAAGTTGACGTTTTGATTCAATTTGTTCTTGATTAACACAATTTCGAAACTTTTGCAATCTAGCAGGGGAAGATCTAACAAATCTCACAGCATTACGTATTCTTTTTATTAATTCATCACATTCTTTTAAACCTTCCCTCACTGTTAAATTAAGAAGGTGGGTTGCACATTGCATATGCACAAATTTACCATCTAAAATAGTTCCATCTTTCCATCTTTGCAACCTCCTCCTCAAATATTGAACCCCTACATCATTTGAACTTGCATTGTCTACGGTAATGGTCATTACCTTGGTGATACCCCACTCAAGCAAACATTTTTCAACCGATTTACCAATAGCCTCACCTGAATGGCCACTAATTGGACAAAAATTTAAAAAAAATTTGTGCAAGTTCCAATTATGATCAATAAAATGGGCTGTTAAACACATGTAAGACAAATTTTGACAAGAGGCATGTATCGGTAGTGAGACAAATACGAGAAGAACACTTGCTAAAGTAGCTTTTCAGATTTTTTTTTTTCATCCAATAACACACGATAACAATCTCTAGCAACTGTGAAATGAGAGGGAATATTGAAATTTGGTTGAACAACAGACATAAAATGGCAAAATCCCTCACGCTTAGAAAACCTAAATGGCAATTCATCCATTATTATCATTTTAGCAAAAGCTTTTCGACCACCCTCCTGCCTAAACTTCCAAAATTCTAATTTCCCTTTCTTTTCACATTTTTATTATCACCTATACTATCTACTAAAGTTTGTTGACTTTGCTCACTAGAAAAAGCAAGAAGCCTTTGTGATTGCTCAATATTAGGGGGATAATCCTTACACCTTGAAAGATGATTTTTCATAACACTTGTACCACTTTTAGAGTCACCACAAACATCAACATGCAATACAAACATTTTGATCTTTTATCCCCACCTTTTTATCAACTCAAAATGATCCCAAAGCCAAGACCTTTTTTTCTTACCTTTATTTTCAGCTCCTACATCATCACTAGTCCCAGTTGAAGGTCTTTTTGCTGAATTGTTGGTGGTGGATTTTGATCTCCAACAGGCTCGACAGCAGCAGCACTTGAAGTCAAGGGATCCTCACTTGACGGGTTAGTTGGGGCAGCACTTTCAGCAGTAATATCATGATCATCCATTATCTACAACACAGCATTAACATTTGACCACTTCAGAATTTAAATACCCACAAATTGTAGAATATTCACCCACAAAAATTAAATATTAAAGCATACTAATTATAATGAACAATCAAATATCAACCCACAAAATTGAACACTAATGCCACTAAGTCACTAATCAAATATATTGGCAGTATGAACACATGCTAATTGAACTAGTAATTGAACAAAAATCAGCCTATAGCAGTAATTGAACACTAAGTCACTAATCAAATATATTGACAGTATGAACACATGCTAATTGAACTAGTAATTGAACAAAAATCAACCTATATTTATACTTACAAAACGAATTGAAATCAACAATTTATACTTAAAAAAAACGAATTGAAATCAACAATAGAAGGCTCAAATGAAGTTCAGCCTTTATTTAACAAATTGAAATCAAAATCAAAATAAAATTAAAAATCAACATCAAATGACCTAAGGGAGCGAAAAGAGGAGAAAATGAATAAGGGATCAAAAAGAGGAAGAAACTTATTGAAGAGGAAGAAGTCATGAGGAAGAGAGAGGAAGAACCCAAGAAATGGAGAAGCCGTCGTCACCGCAGTCAATTTGGAAGTGAGATGACTGAGATTTGAGAGGAGCGCACTCGATTTGGGAGTGAGATGACTGAAATCTGAGAGCCTTGAGACTTTGAGAGGAGAGAGAAAGAGACGTGAGCGGTGGGAAATGGGTTTCCGTTTAGGGAATTAAGGTTTCAGTCTCCAACCCCCCCCCCCTTTTTTTGAGAAGGCTGTGAAATAGAGAATATTTGAGAAATAAAAATGGAAAAACAAGTGATTTTTGGATATTGGATCGGATATCCGATATCCGAAATCCAAAATTTGGATATCCGATATCCGAAAAATCCGGATCGGATATCCAATCCGAAATCAAATTCGGATCAATTATTCAAAATTTTCGGATTGAATGCGGATCGGATCATCGGATTTTCGGATCTTCAGATAGTTTTGCTCAACCCTAACTGTAACGATAAAAAAATCACAAAAATTAAGTGAATTTACTAGTTAGCCCTCCTATATGCATCCCAAATAAATAGCAGCTATGTGCCTAGTTGCACTCGAAAAATAGAGCAAATAAATAAAAAGCGACAAAGTGTATAATACATTAAGTAATACTACCTCTCTCCATATTTCTAAGGTTACTTATTTTTTATTTTCATCTGTTTTTTTAAATTCTACTCACTTTTACTTTATTTCTTTTATGATAACTTTCTATTTATTTTTTATCATTCACAAACCCACCTTGTGGAGCTCAATTTATCTAATAAATTTCTTATTCATCATATCTCTCCTTTTTTAAAACAGAGTAGAAAAGTATCCACACGTATGATAACTAAGTAAGATTCAGCAAAACGAAGGTAGTTAGATGACTTCACCAATCACTAAACAATTGTAGCTATGCTAGAGTGGAACCAAAACCAAACAAATAAAGGATGTTTGGTTTGTTTAGAGTGGAAATGTGCACACATAGTACACGTGGAACCAACAATCAACTTTACCGACATGGCGGATAACCCTCACCAAGCATTAAAAAAATATTGGCCTTCATTTAAGAACAAAATTAGTGTGTAGCTCACGTGGTAGGCCTCATTTATGGACGAATTTAGTGTGTAGCTCACATGGTACACGTAGTTTTACTTTATTTATAGTATTATACATTAATACATTTCTTTCAAAAAAAGAAAAAAAAAATTAATACATTTATACTACAATCATATTACATACTACATCCGTTTTCTTAGTTAACACGTTTTGCCTTTATGCAGTGCACTATTTGCATAACTTACTTTGACTTTATTTTGTGATTGAGTGATAGGTAAAAAATATAGTCGTGTGAAGTCTTGTTAGTTTCGTCTCAACGTCTAATTTCCGATATCAAAATTTTATTTTTTTTGCTAATACGTAATTAAAGATGTTTACATTTGAAAATATGCATTGATAAACGTCCCTAAATAAAATGTGTTAACTAATAAAAAAACTGAGGAAATAATACATTTACATGTATATTGTATGCGTGCTCAACTTTTTAAAGTTTTTATTATTAATATCTTAAAACCTTTTGTTAACTTTTGGGAATATTGGTTGCATTTGAAGATTATCCTTTTGGTTCGGGTCATTGGGTAGGATTTTGGTAGAAATGAAACTTGAGTCTCCAAGCAATTGAATTTTTGTTCGAATTATTATTTAATTAAATCAGGGTCAGATTCTAACACCTATATTTATATTGGATCAATAAAAATTGAGTTGTGAACATAAATGATGTGCAAAACATTCATGGAAAATCAATACTATTTACTCTAACTAGATCCTTTATAAGAGCTCTTTATTCATCCTACACAAATAATGCACGAGTTGGTAATGTGAAATGCTTGAAAGTTTTAGTGGATCCTTTATAAAACCTCGCACACTTACAGGCCAGTAGGAACATCCATAAAATATCTTCCCCTTCGTTGGACCATCATAGCGAATAATCCTTAATGGCGCAATCTCGTTGTGGTAGCACACCAATTGTGAAGGGGAAGCATTTCCCTTCGACCTAGATCTAGACGAACCAGAGCCAACAAATAGATGACTTGCCATTTCAAGAAGAGAGAAGAAAGAAATTTACTAGCACAAAGATGGAATTGAAGAGGATGCAGAAAATTAGATTGGAGGGGAAGACTTTTAAAGAGATGAGAAACAGAACAGGGGAGAGGGAGTGAATTAATGAGCCATTAACTACCTGCAACAGTAATAAATAAGGGAGGGAAGAAACCGGATGAATTAAGAAAAGTAGGAAGTTTACCTAATTTAATAGGTAATGGATCTGTTGGTGAAGATGGGGTATAAATGTTGGATTTTTGTGGAATAAACTTAAGGTTGGATTTTTTAGAGAAGAAAATGCGAAGGTTGGATTTTTAATTTCCATTTTTCCAATCATTTAAATCTGCCTTCATCAATCAATATATTTAGCTTGCAAGTTTCATTAGGATTCAACTAATATACAATTGCCAATATTGAAGCAGAAAACTTCACATAAAATTGATCATTCAATTAATTCCCATTATTGACAATTCACAGTCATAATTGGAGGAAAATCAAAATTAAAACTAACAAGAGATCTAATTAGAACTTGTTCACTTCACCTTAAAAAAATAATATTCACTCCGTGTTTAAATAAATGAAACGTTTTGACTTTTTGCACTATTCATCTAATTCACTTTGACTAGTGTTTGTGATTTATACAAAAGAATAAATATAATCTTGT